GAGAACTGTTCACTTCAACATCTTCAGGAAGGGTTGGCCAGTGATTTGATCAGTGGTCAAAAATATTGTGAGGTCTTTGGATGACTCTTCATCTTATCGCCTTATATAACATCGTCAATGGCTTTGCTTCTATCATTTATTGCTCAGTCCTGCCGTGGTGCGTTACAGTAGCTAAGCCGCCAACCGCAAGCACAACTCCGTAGCAAAGCAACCCGTTGCGAAACCCCCTCCCAACACCAACCCATTGTGAAAGTTGCATTAGTGGCCGATAGTAATGACAGTTACCTGTGTTGCACCGTTAACGAATCTGCAACCTCAAGCGCCCCGACAAGAGCCACGCGGGCGACCCACCCGAAACCAGCAAGGACAAACCAGGGACCGCTGCATTGTGGCAACCCCCGGGGTTGCCCTGGGTGGGTGGGGGGAACGACGAGGCACAGAAAATTGATGAGAGAACGCACCGATACGGGTACTCCAAACTTAAACCCATAATAAAGGACAATTAGTACGATACCGACCTGTGGGTGGGTGGGGGGAAACTAGAGGACACTGTCCCAGCAGCGGGACACACCTCTTGGTAATAGTCAAAACAACGGCAGTTAAAGAACCAATGCGCCTGTGGGACCCAAGTAGGAGCTCGGCGTCCCTTGCCGTACTGCGGTCCGGCACATGCATGCATGCATGCGCCCGACTTCCACGCACCACGGCAGTTCCTTCGCAATAACTTGCCTATCTCTACACTCATACTTCGCTTCGAGAAGTCGAAGCTTATTGCTCAGTCCTGCCGTGGTGCGTTACAGTAGCTAAGCCGCCAACCGCAAGCACAACTCCGTAGCAAAGCAACCCGTTGCGAAACCCCCTCCCAACACCAACCCATTGTGAAAGTTGCATTAGTGGCCGATAGTAATGACAGGTCTTGAAAGGACCCACAAGTGCAACGATCACTGGTTGGTATAGGTCAAGAGGGTCCTCACCCATGCCCCAGCCGCGGTGCTGTCTTCACCATTATGCTCTCGAAACCTCCGCACTCTTCCAGCACCCAGCTGCTGCACCAAGCTGCAATCCGCACGGTTGTTAACGGCAGCGGTCACACCTTCAGAGTGCAGTGAGTGTGTTCCAAAGCGCGGAGACAGCCCTGCCTCCACAAAGAGCCTCCACAGGGGGCCCGGAGCAGTCTGTATGGTTTAGTGGGATGGTTGTGTTAAGCGGCGTGGTATGCTGCTCCAAGCTCAGCATGCCATCCGAGTTGGCCACGACCCAGCGGAGGGAAGGGATGGTGGTGACGATGCCGCACAACCCATATCGTGTCCATCGGTGCCGCTTGCAGCACACACGGACCACTACAAGTGGGGCACGATATGTGTATCAGGGTCTGCATTTCAGGGGTGGCACTGGCACAAAGTTGGCGCCGTCGGCAAAGTCCACTGGGAATGCAATCGTGTATCATCTTGGCGGGTGGATACCCCTTGGGTGACCCCGAGTGGACGGGACTATGCCCTCTTTCAGTAACACAGACTAGCTTGGACGAACGGAAAAGCTGCAGCCAAGACTAAGCTATCACTACTACTACTGTAATTATTACGATGATATGATGACTATTATTATGGATTTTATGAATTTGGGCCACCAGGTTGCATGAGGCCCGAGAGACATGGTGAACCAAAGCCGTGCATGGTGGCGGTTGCATGCATCAGGGCTTGTCCGATGATTGCGAAGGCGGAAACACCACCCAGCGACATTCGCACCCTGTCGCATGTCAGTATCTGGTGAAATTGTAAGGGGGAGCATTAGGTGACTGCTGTCGATGTGACTAAGGCAACTGCAAATTATCCTCGTGACCCCACGGTCTGGCCAGTTGTGCAAACAAAGCAGGGTTTAGCAGCCAAACGAAAGGGCCATGCCCCTTGAAGGGTGCGTCCGCGAACTGGTGGCACTCAAGAGGGAAACAATCCACTGAGATCCAAGCCCTATTACCAGAGCAGTGGTGCACACACGTCATGTGCATGGCCACAAGGGGTCCACCTTTGGATCATCAAGTCTTTAGCAGGTTGGCTTTGATTGTCACCAGCACCCGCTGGGCGTCCAAGCACCCCTGCCGAATGAGGCTCGGTAACACATTAAACATCACCGACAGTTCCAGGAGTCTGAGATGGACCCTCCAGTTCCGATACCCATCAGCCCACAGCAAGGGCACCGTCCTCAAGGACCCAACCAACCCAGCCGCCATACGAAAAACTCGGAACAGCATCTGTGTGGATGGCAAATGGGTGCGCGTGGGTAGGTTGCCAAAAGAGTTTAACCCACCCTAGACTGCAAAGAAACGTGCAATATTTGGCGACTCCGACAGCTCATGGCTGGCGGTAGGACCAGACCTGGACCGGTAAAACTGTGGACCACATTGGGGCAGCAATAGCGACATGCCCGAAAGGTCCGCGATCTCATGCACCCAGTAGGGAGTACAGCTGTTGAACGCTGCGCAGGTTCCACCATCCTCTGCACTGCGAGTCTCATCCTTTCGGGACGAATTGAGCCGTTGATGGTGTCAACACCAAGTCGGTGAGAACCCGCTCTCGCCGCTGGTAGGGCGCCCGCACCCTGGTGTGCGAAAAAACCCCAACAGGCTGGTGCCAGCCTACTGGGCACTGCACAACCTGGGAAAATTCGCCCTTGCTGTGCAAAGCCTAAGATTGCCGAGCTTCCTTGTGCATATCAATGTGGTGATAGCCGGACTTCTGAGACACGGTGGGCAGATAGCCGTGTGGTTGTGGCACTTCCCACAAGCATCCCACGGGACTTATACCTGTAGCTCGGCACCACACGGTGTTCGATAATATAGCATAGCGTGCATCAGAAATTAGGCGGAATTTGGGAGTGGCCTTCTTTAGGAACAAAACCGAGGGGCAATACGCAGCGCAGTTGGCAATCGACTCATGGTCCCGCCCCAGTGGCGACCAGTTCGGTGATCACAAAATTCAGTCTGCTGTTAGGCCGACGGTTGGC